ACAAACATAATGTTGAGAAAGAAAACCAGACTCTCTGCAAAATATACACTGTTTGATTTCGTTTATATCAAGTCAAAATAGATAAAACTATTCTATGATTTTAGAAGTCAAGATAGTCAGTAACTTTGGAGGAGGAAGGTACAGTGATAGGAATGGAGCATAATGTGGGGTTGTGAGATGCTACTTCTATTTATTGATCTGGGTTCTGGTAACATTAGTATGTTCACTGTGTAATAATTCATCGAGTTGTACAATTATGATTTGTCACCTTTTCTGCATGTATGCAATACTCCAATAGAAAAGTGGGGGGCGGGGAAGAAATGAAGAACAAAGTATAATAGGTAAAGTTGGTCCTCCATGAGGGCCACCCTAATACACAAGGCAAGTGGTTTTCTTGGTAACGTTCCTGGGGATTAAAAGGCTGCAGAAGTTCTCTTTTATAAAGAGATCTTCCCTCTAAGATATTTACAGATAAAGTATAGATTATTTTTTCCACAAAATCTACGAGCTGAGACGTAAAAACAAATAAAACGTCAAATGATACATTACAGAAAGCTTTTTGCACCATTTTAAAGGTAATGTGGTTCGGGCTCTTCTCCATTTCACTTTCTAATCATTCTAGAAACCAGTGAAACATTGCCAGTGGAACTATTTACTCTCCTAGGCATAGCTGACCATTCATAGGTTTAAGAAGACCTGAGGAAAACAGGCTTGTTACATACACAGAAAATGTCTTTGTTTCACATAAATATCTCCAAAAGCCCCAAATAATATTTAACTCAACAAGTATTTAAGTACCTTAACTATAACTAGCAGGTATTAGGTCAGGTATTACAGAAAAAGAAAAGAAAAGGAAGGCAGATTGCTGAGGAGTTCTAATATAAAGACACAAGAGTTATTCAACTAAAAACAGAAATAACAACTAGAGAATGATCCCAAGACAGGATGTGATGGGTAGGTTGCAGGAGAATAGAATTAGTGAGAGAAATTGGGATAGGTATGTATAATGGAGCCAGTTATTGAAAGCCTTCAATGTCACACTGAAAAGTCTAGATTTAAACCTATAGAAAACTATTTTAACTGGATCCCATTCTCCTAAAAAAACATTCTTGGATTTAATGATTCCTAGTCATTTTCTTGACTCGTAGTCATTTCACATTAATACGTAATGTAAAATCTGTATATACTAATACTCTATCTAGTTTAACCGAGAGATGTTTTGTGGAAAGTTAAAGTTGACTTCTATGTCATCACCTCAAATAATTAGAAACTTTTTCTAAATATCCCCAACAGCCCCTAATAAATCCTTGTTAATCTACCCATATACATTTTTCTAAACATTTTCTAAATCTTAGAGTTCTGGTTTAGATGATCTCTTAGGACAACCATTTGAACGAGATACTACGCTTACTTGCCTCTCTTCCAAAATAATCTTTCAAGCTTTAAAAGATATCTAATACCTAACATTGTGTCTGGATGATAGCAAGGTAGTTATTGAGCTACATTGTTAAACTATACCAATATATTAACCTTATTCATGTCTCTCATGGTTTGGTAGACTTTCTCTCCAGACTGGGGGGAAAAAAAAAAACAACAACTAGAAAAACTCTCTCTCCTTTTGATCAATTTGATTGGGTTTCTGGGGACTTTTATCAGCTGTTAGGTTTTTCTTGAGAAGTGGCCATCAGAATTTCCTATATGATTATGGGTGCAAATCCACTTTTGTTCTTTTACATAGAAAAGATAATGGTTTTGTTTTGTCATTATTTTCAACACCCTTCCTGATGCTGCCCACCATATTACTTGCTTTGAGGTCCACAATCACAACTGGGGCAACTTCTTCACAGAGGGATCAATAATGATTTTTATATTTATTTATTTATTTTTTACTCTAACAATCATATTGTGTATTGTCTAACTCAGAAAATGATGAGATGTACCTAGCTCTTCATATCGTCTCCTGTGAGTAGCCAGATAAATCTGCAGGTGCTCCTTGACTACTCCAGCTGAAGGACAAAGTTATGACTCCAAAAGATCTGAAGCAATCCTTTCACTTTTTATCATTAGCAGTGTCCCCACTGGGGAAGCTTTCCTAACAATTCCGTTGGAGAACTTTGCTGATCTCTCTGTTATGTATCCTGACTGCCCTAATATCCCTCTGTATCTTGTTTTAAAAGTATTTTTAATGTTTACTTATTTATTTTTTAGAGAGAATGAATGAGCAGGGGAGAGGAGCAGAGGGAAAGAGAGAATCCCAAGCAGGCTCTGCACTGTTAGCACAGAGCCTGATGCCGGGCTCTATCCAACGAACCCATGAGACCATGACCTGAACAGAAATCAAGAGTCAGAGGCTTAACGGACAGAGCCACCCAGGTCCCCTTCTTGTTTTAAAAGTTTTAAATTGAGGAAAAATAGTGGGGGAGAGGGAGGGAGGCAAACCATGAGAGACTCCTGAATGCTGAGAACAAACTGAGGACTCATGGGGGTGGGGGGGAGGAGAAGGGTGGTGATAGTCATGGAGGAGGACACTTGTAGGGATGAGCACTGGGTGTTATATGGAAACCAATTCGACAATAAACTATTTTTAAAAAAGGATCTCAGTGATGCTAAAAATTAAAATTGAGGGATACAAACAAACCTCTTCAGTGATCTCTAGATCCCTTTCTTGAGTCATAACTGAGCCCATCATCTCATAAAAATGGATAGGTGTACATGACTTTATACAACGAAGTGCCTTTATTTTGCCCACTTGGTCTTATGAGATACTTGCAATTTATTCTCATCAGTTTATCTTTACTCTTTGCAAATAAACTGGTGAGAAACCTGAATGTTATGCCCATTTGAAGGGTGTGTATTTTTTATCTTTCTTCCTCTCCATCTAAGAGTTACTGTAAGAGCAGCTGTTTGTGTTGAAAAACTAAAATATAAAAATATGACCTACGTGGCCAAATCCCACAAGGCTGTTTACTTCCTTGTTTATGAATCAGAATGTCAGCACAACTTAGAATCTTGACTGTCAGCAGATATTGCAATTAAATGTCCCTGTAAAGCCAGCAGAGGGTGCACCAGGGTACTAGAAATTTTACCCAAGATGTAGCAGTATGGGTTTAACTCTAATAGCCAATCAACTTTTCTTTGGGGGAGGAGGGGGCGGGGTGCTTATACTAAAACTAACATCCTCAAAAGAAACATAATTTGAGCCTGGGCTAAAATTTCTTTAAATCATACTTCAATTCTCCTGAAAGTAAAGTTTAAGAAGAGTAAGGAATACATGTTAAATTCAGTCTGACCAAAATATAGGTGGAGTAAAAGAAAATAATGTAAATCTGGGCTCTCTACATGGCAAGAATGGTACTATGGAGCTCCACCCCACTTTCCTCAAAAAGGCTCCAGGAATTGTATGCTACAGGAGAATAGGCACTGAACTGGGAGTCAGGAGACCAACTTCCCTTCTACAGGTGACCATACTCATATGAACTTGGACAAATCACTGCCCCCTCCCCCACCTTCCAGGGTCGACGTGCTATCCAAGGGAATCAAACAAAATGGACTCATATAGCCCCTCACAATTCTAAAAATCTCTGACTCCAATTGAGGCCAGCAAATGTAAAGAGCCACTATGCTTGTTGCTACTGTTCAAAAAGATTAAAACAGAAATAAAGGACAGAAAATAGGGAGCTGTATTAAACCTAGACAGAACTATTTGAAGTGCCATGCGAAGGACAGCCAACTAAAAGCCATTATAGACCTGTAAGAGTCCCACACTATCACAGAAACCCTAGAGCACAGCTGTCCTGCTAATCTTGTCTGTAAACATAGGTCTGTCCATCCCAAATACCAAAAAGCTTTGGCTACCATTTAACTAAGGAATTTCAATTCCTTCATCTTTCCACAGAATATCAATGTTCAGCTGCTAAGTGCTTCTACTGGGCGCTGTGGGGGCGGGGGGTGGATAGATAAAGGGAGCCAGAATCCTAGTTAATTATCATTTAGCTACAGTGTTTAAAGTTTCAAGTATGAGAAGCATGTCTACTGATTCTCTTCTTTGATAAGCTGTTATATAAGTTGGAGTGTGCTAGCAAGGCATTTTTAGGCTCAGGGTAACTTCATAATGCAAAATGTAGAATATGTGGCCAGTCCTAACATTATAGTTTTATCATGAATGTGATGCCAGCTTTGGGTGCATGGTCAAAATAGCACAAATAATGTTTACAGAGTATGACAATGATTCTAGATGTGCTAGTAAATATAGGAACCCTGGGTCCCTCACTTCAAGAAATTCATTTGCACAACTTGCCCAAAAGGAACAAATTCACTATTATTCTCTAACCACCTCAAAAGGATTCTTGGATGCTTGCTTCTTCTAAATTTCACAGGACAAAATACGGCAGTGAGGAGAAAACTTCTTTTAAATGCACTAAATTTACTTGAATAAAGAGCTGAAAACGTCGAAGACAAACACCAAAGCCAACAGTTAGCTAACAAGGGTACAAACACCATAAAGATTGCAAGACAAACAAAACAATAACTGTTCTTGAAAGATTACTCCTGAGTATTCCATAAGTAGATTCCTCAAACCAGCAGTAGTGAACAGACTTCAGACTCACCCTACCTAACCCCCCAAAAAGAGTCAGAACCGGCATGCAAAGGGTGAGTTTTATTTCCATAGATTTTTTAAATTGCTGCTCAGAAGTTGTCTAGCAAGACGGCATAGTTCTACCAGAATTCCACAGGGGCGCTGATCTTCACTAGAACACTGAGGACAATCAGTTTCAAATTGCAGGTAAGTGTGAACAAGCCCAAGTTCTGGTCAGCGCACAAGGACCCGCGCTGAAAATGCGATTAAAAGTTCTTTCAACTGTGGAGCAGTTATTACAGCTGTTTATAGCTCCAACTCCAAAAGAGACTCTGCTCGTGCTGGCATCAGCTCTGGACACGAAAAAACACAAGCACCGCGGGCAGAAAATCTCACCAGGAGCAGAAGGGCCAAGCTGCTGCCGTTAGTCCGCCAGAGGGGCAGCGGCGCGCACCTCCGCGGCCTGGAGGGCTGCCAACTTTCCCCGAGGCAGCCCGTGGCTGGGGGCGGCAGGCGCCAGCCAGGGCTCCCAAGTCAAAGGGTCCTGAGAGTCGGGGTGAGCTAGACCCGGACCTGGGACAACCTGCCCAGGGGCGACCTCTCCCCCTCCCCGCTCCAGCCCTACAACTTGGCTGGAGGTGACAGAGTCCTCCCCAGGGCCCTGTGGGGGAGGGCCCTCGCCCTGCCCACAAGGGGAGGGGGACTCCGCCGCCCCTACTAGGTGACTCACCTGGTGCCCGTCCTGGGAGTGTGGGGGGAGTGTGGTTTCTCCCGGTTCCAGAGGCTGCTGCTGAGGTGATGGCTGCCTAAAGTGGCGGGTGATGGGACCGTCAGGGTCGAGGCCACCGGGGCTGCTCAGGGTGCCAGACGTGCCGGGGCCAAGGCGGGACTCGGCTCCCCGCTCCCGCCGCAACTCGGAGCGCAACTCTAGGTAGCAGCACAACGTCAGCAGGTGGAGGGCCAGCGAGAGGCCAAAGAAACCCAGGAAGAGCCGGCAGCTGTTCCCTTCGCCCGCCCGGGCAGGGGCCCCGCGACAGCCGCAGCCCTGGCTTCCCCGTTCCCGCGGCGCTGCCGTGGGCAGAGGTTCCCTGCGCTCTACCTCCGGGTAGCCCATGGCCTCCGGAGACACCCACTCTCTGAGGCCCGGGAGCCGCCGCGTCTTCCTCAGCCGTTCAGGACCCCTGACAGGCGGCTACTGCCCTGCCATCGGCTGGGGGCTGCAGGGACCCGTTCCAGAGCAACGGAGCCTGGGCGGGACAGAGCAGGGAGCTGCCGCATGTGCAGCTCCACTCCGAGGGGTGGGAAAGGGAGGAGGAGGGGCGGGAGAGAGGGGCGGCTCGGCCCCGCGGGGAGAATAAGGGAGGAGGCCCGGACCGACCCCGCCCCATCTCCCAAGCGGCTGCCCTGACGCCCAACCACCGGCCCGCCAAGCCTTGGCGCCCCGCCCCCTGCAATTCCACCCCGGGCCTCCAGCCACGGGGCGGGGCCTGGGGGCGTGTGGATTCGCCTCTGCCTGACGGCCCCACCCAGCTCTTCCCGCTTGCGCCTGTTCCAGTTGGTGACCAACGCTGTCGTTCATCGCTGGACTCCGCCCCAATTTAACCCTATAGCGCCTGTACGGGGAGGGGGGGCAGAAGGGAAGGAGGGGGAGGTTAGAAGAATTTAGGCACCTTGGAAAGAAAGTAGAGCAAAGAAATGGAGGCAGAAAGTAGAATTAATAGAAATGTTTGCAATTAACTGCAGTTGTTAATAACATCATCCAGTACTTATCTGTTGCTTTCAATCTTCAAAGCGTTTAACAGACGTTAAACTAATTAAAACAGTTCTGGGTTTGGAATGAAACCATGCCTGCTGTGTTTGCAATCCAGTGGCAAGCCAAAAGAAAAGGAGACCCAGGAGCCTGGGAGCCAAAAGGAGTGAGGTTGGGGTGGGACTGAGGCAGCCCCACTCCTAGAGTGAGTCGGGGTCTCTAAGTGACCAAGAATTCCACCTATGCCAGGTGGAACTGAAATGATGTTGTCCCACGCAGGTTCAAACAGTCCCCTAGGATTTCTTGATACATTAATTAATTCAACAAATATGTATTGGTCCCTTTACAATGTAGAAAGTGCTGTATGAGATAATCCACAGCCAGTGGAGTTTCTCTTCTGCCTCAGCAACAGGACTTCTGAGTGGAGAATATGTGCCTTCAATGAGCAAATGGGGAACTTGAAGGCCAGATGAGGTGGATTTTTACAAGGGTGGTCCACAGAATGACCAGGCAATATTGGCATCTCTATTTGCAGGCAACTGTTCTGGCCTCTCCACCCCTTCCCTCCTTTCCCTGGAGTAGTCCCTGGGGGAAGTTCAACAAGTCAGCCAAATGTTCCAGATGTACACGGCTGCAACTGCAGCATCTTCAACAGCTGAACCAAAGAGAAAAGGGGTCAGAGCAAAAACCAAAAAAAAAAAAAAAAAAAAGGCAAATGTCAGAACAATAGACCCTGAACTGAAGGATGGAAAGGATTAGTTGAGTCAAAATGGACAAGTTACTAGTCTGAGATTATGAGATTATGGAGAGCTAAATGACTATAGCAGGGGGAAATGTATGCTTCTTGGTCACTATATACTCTTATTCCCATGTTATGAACAATTAGCAGTTTTACTGATTTTTCAAGGGTAGGCCTCAGACCTCAGCTGATGGGAAAGAAGAAAAATAAGGAGATATAGAAAAGAAGGCAAAAGAAGAGGAACAATGAAACAAAAGCAAAGCATATAGTGGAAAGGTCAGTCCAAAAAGCACAGAGTTCATAAACCTTAAATATATTAGCCACAGCCACGTTTTCTTCCAGACACTTTGTGAATGATCTCAGTGCTTCAGAAAGATCTATTTGCCCCTTCATGGCCCTTACTCATGATGCATAAAGGTTGCAAAGAATATCATCATCAGATGATAAGAAGATATTAAAAAGGAAAAAAAAAAAAAAGAAGATATTAAAAAGGGCACTTAATAGCTAAGCTAATCTCAAGTCCTGCTTGTTCTGTCTAGGGATTCTAGATGCCAGGGGAACTACTGGGATGATTTGAAAGAATGTTAGACTAGGAGTCTGTAGACCTAACCCTGCCGCTGGATTGCTGGGTCACTCTGAGCAAGTTACTGTGCTTTTTGGCCAGAAACATTAGTTTCTCCAACTGGAAATTGAGGAGTTTGGACTTTAACAACTATAACATGGCATTTTATCTGTGTTATCACTGGCTAGTTTAATGTGGTTGTACACACAGTTCAAAGAGTCTGCCCCTTGTTTCCCTAAGGTGAAAAGGAAACAAATATCAGCCATCTCCCGGTAGTGGTGCTCAAGGGCCTTACTGGTCTCAACTTACCCTCTTCTACCAGGCTTTTAACAGCCTGACCAAGACCCTGGGTTGCACCATTACCCTCAGAAGACCTTCAAGTTGCCTTTGACGTAGAACCTCACTTTGGTTCCCCAGAGGAAGAACATATGTCTTCATATGCAGTAGATATGTTGAAATAGAGCAATGCAGTGAAGAATGTATGTGGTTATTCTGTAAAAATGTTTTGAGGGGTGCGCCTGAGTGGCTCAGCCGGTAAAGCATCTGACTTTGGCTCAGGTCAGGATCTCATGGCTCAGGTCATGATCTCACAGTTTGTGAGTTCAAGCCCCACATCAGGCTCTGCACTGACAGTGAGGAGCCTGCTTTGGATTCTCTCTCTCTCTCTCTCTCTCCCCCCCACCCCCTTCTCTCTGCCCGTCCCTGGCTCCTGCTCTCTCTCTCAAAACGAAATAAACATTTTTTGAAAAGTGTTTGAAGTGTTACTCCAGTTAGTTTCTATGTTTCCATAAATACTCCAACCCCTACAGCATAGGTCTCAAAATGACAGCCTACTGACCACATCCAGAAAACAGATGTGTTGTGTTTGGTGCAGTGTTGGCTAAAACGTTGAATTAAAAACATTAATTGCCACCATTTAGAAATCAGGAGATTTCACATGAAAAAATTCAGATTTCCTCTTTCTCTCTCTAAAAAAAAAATCAGAAAACCTGCTAACACTCGATCCACATTCTCATATGGCTAGTCAGCTAGAATTAACCCCTTGAAACAAGTGGGAACAATCAAATCCCACACAGTCACCCCTACCTCCTTCCTCTAGTCTCCATTACTGCCCTTGTCACCCATTTACCTTACCTGTCTGGACTCATGTATTCTAGGATACAAAATATCAGCTCCTTATCATGATCCATAATCCGCCTGTCCAACCTCATCTCCCACCATCCTACAACGAACCCATACTCCCACAAAATTAAATTCATTGGCATTTCTCCTACATCTGTGTCTTTGCACAAACTGATTTCTTTTTCTGGAATGTTCCTACCTTGAGCAACTGGTAACTTCCTCAAGAATCAAATCATGTGTGTCCTCTGGTACAGACCCACACCTCATGCCAACCAGATTTTTCTTTATGCTTTCACTGAATCCTGAGCATATTTCAATGATAGCACTTTAAACATTGTATTTTTCTTTTTTTCACATGATTTCTCATCACTATGAGCTGATGGTAAGAATCACATTCTTGGGGCCCCTGGGTGGCTCAGTCAGTTAAGCAACCGACTTCAGCTCAGGTCATGATCTCACAGTTCGTGGGTTCGAGCCTCACGTCGGGCTCTGTGCTGACAGGTAGCTCGGAGCCTGGAGCCTGGAGCCTGCTTCAGATTCTGTGTCTGCCTCTCTCTCTGACCCTCCCCTGCTCACGGTCTCTCTCCCTCTCTCTCTCTCTCCTCTCTCTCTCAGAAATAAATAAGACATTAAAAAAAAAAAAAGAATCACATTCTTTCCATTTTGGTAGTTACCAGTTTGGTAACTAGTGTGGCATTTACCACATAGTAGGTACCAGTATTGTTTGTCAAATTAATGGTGCATGAAGTCTGCTATGGTAAGCTAGATTACCTAGAGTTCCAGAAAGGGAAGTAGGCCAAGAGATGCCTGCCAGTGCCAGTTATGAAGCACCTACTGTGTGCAAAGCTGTATAACCCATTATGGAAAGATATAAAGGAAATTGAACCAAATGACAATTGCGCAATTATCCTCTTGCTTGAACTGCTGTTGTACTTGTGGATAATCTAGAGAAGTTAATGACCCATAAATTCAAATATAATTGGTTTGTAGTACTTCACTTTTTGTCCCATCAAGTTTACTTTCCTAATGTTGTTTGGACCTAATACTAAAATAATACTAGTTGGGGGTGCCTGGCTGGCTCAGCTGGCTAAGCGTCCAGCTCAGGTCATGAGCTTGCGGTTCATGGGTTCCAGCCCCGTGTTGGGCTCTGTGCTGAAAGCTCAGAGCCTGGAACCTGCTTCAGATTCTGTGTCTCCCTTTCTATCTGCCTCTCCCCTGCTTGTGCTCTGTCTTTCTCTCTCTCTCAAAAATAAATAAATAATGCAGTGCCTGGGTGGCTCTCGGTTAAGCTCTGACTTTGGCTCAGGTCATGATCTCACGGGTGGTGGGTTCGAGCCCTGCGTCAGGCTCTGTGCTGACAGCCAGCTCAGAGCCTAGAGCCTGTTTCAGATTCTGTGTCTCCCTCTCTCTCTGACCAGTTGGCCACGGACTGGTTTTACTTTTTTTTTTTTTTAATTTTTTAAATGTTTATTATTGAGAGCCAGAGAGAGACAGAGCGTGAGCATGGGAGGGTCAGAAAGAGGGGGAGACACAGAATCTGAAGCAGGCTCCAGGCTCTGAGCTGTCAGCACAGAGCCTGGTGCAGGGCTCAAATCCACAAACCCTGAGATCATGACCTGAGCTGAAGTAGGATGCTTAACTGGCTGAGCCACCCAGGTGCCCCTACTTTTTTTTTTTTTAATGTTTATTTATTTTTGAGAGAGAGACAGAGAGACAGAGTGCAAGCAGGGGAGAGGCAGAGAGAGAAAAGGACAGAGGATCCAAAGCAGGCTCCACGCTGACAGCAGAGAGCCCAATATGGGGCTTAAACTCAGGGAACCAAAGATCATGACCCAAGTCAAAGTTGGCCACTTTTACTGACCCATCCAGGTGCCCTGCAGGGACTGGTTTGAAATAACCTCTTAATTCTGGTTAATTTACAGAACAAATCATTGACATAAA